AGGGGGAGGAAAAGAAACACTTTGAGAATTTTTAGCAAGAACACGTTATTTCGAGAACAGAAATTTTTTTCCCCCCGTATTTTAATAACGCGATATAACTTTAATCTTTTTCACAGGTTAGACACAGAATACTTTGTCATACTCTCGGATTTATCTCGGATTTATTAGTAGATAAATGATTCCATCGGACCTTAATTGGAAATCAGTTACGCGGCAAGGGGATTCGCATGGAAATCAAATGTTTGCCTCCCGCTACCGATTAGATTCTGCGTGCAATAAGCTCCCACACTCACTGTACACTGTTGTGCCGTACACGTGAAATCTTCAATCAGCTTTTGATAAGAAGATTATCGAATTATATTTTTAACCCTCTGCATTTATAAAACATTTAAAATCAAAACATTATTCTAAATTCATAATAAATTGTAATTCGAAAGTATATATATTTTTATCAACTTATCGACTTTTTTCGGATTTATTGTATCCGAAAAAAATTTATTGATTTGATATTAAGATAATAATTTATATTATATACAAATAGTTTAATTATTTTTTAATTTTGATTTTCAACCGATTACTGAGGAAATCGAATTTTCTTCGAAATTTTCGATCGACATGTATCCATGTGTTTTTAACAATCTCTTTCGCGAAGAAATTTCGCGTTGATTGTTACTGCCTCGTCAACTAGCCAATAAACGAACATCGACAAAGATTGGAAAGCAAAGGCGAGGCGAGTGGGACGGGAAATGGCAACGAAACGGACATCAAAGGATGAAGTTTGAAGTCGGAAACGGAGACGACCGTTGCATTTTCGGCGACAGTTCGTACGCGAGTGCAGAGAGAGACAAGGATAATTCTCCTCGATCGGCTCGAGAAACTTTCACGACGACGCAGTTGTCGCAGGCTGAATCCGATCGAGCGTTAACGACTCAACAACGACCAACCTATCCACTGTGTCCACACCGATCATAGCCCGCGCGAAAGAAATTCCTTCGCTTCTCAGTTTTAACTCTTAGATTCGTTGAAAAGGAAACACCCTTTCTTACTAATTTCTTTCTTTTAACAACGTAACGCATAAGAAAAAAAAATGGAAAAGAAATCGTAGCAACTCACTGAAAAATGAATATCCCTCCAACTTCCCCTCTCGATCCTTTTTATTACGCGAAATCAGCTTCTCCACGTTCCCATTTAGCACACACATATAACGCATATAAATATTCACAACGCTCCCTCCTACGTGCGTGTTTATTCGCGGGGAAACTCGGTCGTATGCGTCTGGCAACGGTCTTCGTATGGGATACGACTCCCCCGGGGGTGGCTATATTAAAATTCCTGAAACTTTTTAATCTTTCCGCCGTAGTTAAATATTAATAACGAAATCTCGCAACGCGTTTCCTCCTCGCTGTCGAGGGACGCGTCCGACATCTCCTCGTTACGCTTTCCCCCAAATCTCCTATCGACTCGTTCCTTCCTTCGTTCGTTTATTCTCCTCGTTGCACGTGTGATTCCACGAAATTTTACACGAGTAAAGAAAGAAGATTAAACGCGAGGAGGAGAAAGGACGATTGATAAGATTATTCCACGAGGCGAGGACGGAGGAGGGGAGGGGATAATATTGGAGAGGGAGAATAATATTCTGACATCCGTGTGCGAAGGGTGGAAAAGCGAGGGGAAAAGCGAGCTTACTTAGCCGCCATTTAAACCCGAAAGCGTGCTTTGCTTCTCCCCCCCCCCCCCCCCCCCAGCTGAGATCAAGCTGCGATATTAACGGCCTAACCGTTGTACCGGATCGCCCAAAATACACGGACCGTGCAGCAAGTATCGAGTTCTCAGGGGCAGGAGCTAGAGTTCTGTTCGCTGTTTCTATACCTGTTCGATATAACGGATGTGTGTATGTGTTAATTGAAACGCGGTTTAACTGCGCATACTGTTCTACTATTGCACGGTTAGCATTGCCTTTCGTATACGTGATACTTTTTCTAACGTTTAATCAACGAGGGAGAGAGAGAGAGAGAGAGAAGTTTTTAAGGTATTTTAAAATTGTGTATTTGATAATTTTATAAATAAATTCGAAAAATCGCGCAAACTATCTAATCGATTTTTCGAATTTTTCGAGAGTTTAATTTTCGTAGTTTTATCCGTAGTTTTATTTTCGTAAAGATATAATAAGGGAGAGAACTCTTCTCGCTTATTTTATTCTTTTCCAAAATTTTTCTCTAATTCCCCTCGTTGTTATTAATTTTCTCCAGTCACGTCCCCACGTTATATCGCGTACACGCACGTGCATACGCGTGGAGGGAAAAATCTGAAAAAAAGCCCTCCCCAGAAGCTTAAAAACTCAAATGTCATTGTCTGCATTGTGACAATATGCGAGAGAGGAGTACGCAACTACGAAGTTTGAAACGCAGAAGTTTTAGAAATGCGGGTATTGGTGAGGTTAACAAACGATTCAACTTCGCGCGTACGTATACGTGTGGATACGAGAATTCTTCCAAATAATTAGAGAATTTTTACCTTGTGAAAAGCACTCGTGTCCCTCCACCAACTATTCTTATTCCCTTGTCGATCAAATCAACCCGATAATAAACAACACTTGCCTCGTCAATAACTCGAAACAATTTTTTTTTAACAAATTCTCGCTCGTCCACAATTTTAATCGCATCCCAAAACTGCTCCCAAATTAAATCATTTCGACTAACGAGCCTTAGAATCGATCGAGAAACGTGCGTGCAATTCGAATAGAAAGTGTTGGCCACGCGTGGAGAAGAAAAGGTCCTTGGTCTGCGGCGAGGAAGAAGCGGCAGGAGTGGATGGAAGGAGGGCAAGGCAGGCAGGCAGGCGGTGGACAAGGGGGAGAGGGGTTGGAAGCACGGCTCGGCGCTAGAGGGGGCATGGGGGCGGCGCGGGAAAACAAAATAAAAGAGGGAAACCGCTGGCAATTTTTCACTAGCTTTTTAAAGCGCGGCTTAGGTACTCGTGGAGAGAGTTTGAATCGATTTTTCCGGAGGGCCCCATTTTTCTCCCGTCTCCTTGTGCGCCAACCGACACGAGCACTACCTACCTACCTACCTACCTACCTACCTACCTAACCATCACCTCTGCTCCCAGCTGTTTCGCCGGCGGAACAGCGGAAATGTCACCTCCAAGTTCGGATTTCAGATCGAAGTCCACGATCTCACGGAACTTGCCCCTCACGGATTTTCCTGTCAAACGAACGCTTGCCGGGGATACGCGAGGATTTCGGAGATTAAGAGCGGGGGACCACCAAATGTCAGAGTTTAAACGAGCGCTACTATTTTATTTTCTCTCTCTCTCTCTCTCTCTTCTTCTCTTCCTTTCTTTTTTTTTCCATTTTTTTTTTGCAACTATTCTCTCTCTCTCTCTCTCTCTCTCTTTTTCTCTCTCCTTTTCGACGGTGTAGTGCCTATTTGTATGAAAAATACCATTCCACGATCGAACACGCGTACCCGCCCCCTGGAGGTACGGGTGCATTATTCGAGATTAGTTTTTTTTTTTTTTTTTTTTCTAGTTTTTTTAATTCTCTTAAAGCTTTCCGCTGTTTTTTGTTACTTCACCTTTTTTTTTTTTGTCGGTTTTCGTCCGTTCTATCGGATTCGTATACGTATATATACGATTATTTCGAACATTTTCGAGCTCCCCTTTCGAGAATAGTGCTGGAAATGTTCAATTCGTTTTTATGAACGGTTAAAATGTAATTCAATGTTTCGAAAGTGTATCGTCAAGGGTTTTCGCGTTATTTTCAACGTGTCAATGGATTCATCGTGACCACTGTGACCATTTTACCGAATTTTAATCGAATAATAATATCGACTGATCCTCCCCTCCCCGATCCTTTTGCCGAGGCGCCCGAATCGGACGCGTATTCCTTTTTATCCGAAAAACCGACGCCGCTTAATTTATAATTATACACCGTTTCCCATTGAAACGCGTATAAACAAAGATACGCAAATGCGTTAATTTATATACGTGTATGCTAGGCCAGATTCGACAAACGCGGGAACGAATGGTTCTCGCGATTCGATGAACACTTTTTTTTTTTTTTTTTTTACACTCGATCGATACGCGGCTGTCATTTCGATGTTAAAATATCAGCGAAACGGTTAATATCATTTACGGCAACGGCAACGGCATCCCCGCCGTTGAATATAATATTTCATGCGGGCGTAATAACAAAACACGCATTTCGGCAAATGTGATTTTACGATTGGAAGCGCGATGAATATTTAAACAGCCACGTGGACTCGAGTGAAGAAAAAAATNTTTTATCTCTTTTTTTTTTTCAGAGCGATCGAACGTTAAAAACCGAAAATTTTTGCCATCTACGATCCCCATCTACGAACCGCAAATGCGATTTGGGCCATTTTGCTCTCGTTAAATACCGATGACATTGAACTATGGAATTTTATCGTTATTTTGAAATTTAATGGAAATATATATATATATATTTTTGCTCTTTTTTGTCGCGACAATTCGTAAGATCCAAGAGACAAAATGTTTAATTTAAAAAAAAAACAAACCTGTGGATAAAATTATATTTTATATATATTACTACTTTCTACTTAATATTTAATAAAAATCGATTGGGCGAATGAAAATGATCCTCCGTTACTTTCTTTCAAACGACTCTAAAATGCGTCTTTAGAAATAAGTCTTGCTAAGATCTTTAACAATTAGTAGCATTTTTCTCTTTTTTAACCGATAATGAATCGATGAATCGGTCATTAATTGAATAATAGACGTCTAGTTGAAACGTCTACAACAATTTTCAATAAGACGCATTGGTAATTGATGATAATTGTTAAATTCGATCGAAATGAAATTGAATTGCGTTTTTCTCTTTTTTTTTTTTGCAGCACGTTATTGATTAACATTGCACGCGCGAAAGATGAGTGTTATATCGTAATATCGTTATATTATCACTCGTACGCGACGAGGAGGAAGGTAAGTCGGCTTTAATGAGCGAGATTAAGAGGACTTACGAGATTTCGCCGAAAGGAGCGAAGGCTTCCCTCAAGGTCTGCGTTTCGATCTCCGGGCTCAGATCTCCTACGAATATGTGGTAGTGTTCTGGAAAAGATATAAATCGTTAGATAAAACAGAATAACGGAGAAATGGATGATGGGAAGTAGAAACAATCGATTCGTTTCGTAGAGAAAAAAAAAAAAAAGAAAAGAAGAAAAAAAAAATAAAAAATAAAAAATCTATTCTTTGCTTCAATTTCAATCCTCAACATTGGCGTGTAAAGTTTTTTTTTTTTGCAAACATCTATCACTGATTTCATCATCAACACCCGTTTCCGTATACAACATATCTTTTATCTTCGTCCCGTGTTCCCGATAAAACGTATAAAATTGCATAAATTTGTAGGCTGATAAAAGGCTACAGCGATACCCCGAATTAATTCACGCTCGAAATATTCGGACGCGTTCCCTGGTATAACCTGAAAATTAGGAAATCAGAGAAGTATTGTTTAGTCTTTAAATATTCGGCTCCACGGTCTTTGTGTTGTGGAACAGCGGGCGAGCGCAAAATTGGACGCGAAGGTAAACATGCTTTCATTGTTTCTATTAAAATTGCAAGAGTAATTTAACGGCGGTTGGTCCAGTTTAGACACGGTTAGATAAAATCCCGTGTATTCTAACAAATGCGGACCGAGCGTGTTCTTGCTTTGTTATGCAAACCTAAGGGGGGAGGGGAGGGAGGAAGGAGGAGAGGAATGGCGGGTTCTTTCCTCCCCCTGTTTCGCCAAGAAGAAAATTCAATTGAAAATCACGTTTGGAAAGTCAACGTCTAGATTGCGTCGTGTAAAAATAACCGAAAATATCTTTCCATCGATGCTCGAGGGGGAGGGGAGGAGAGGGGAATTGTTTATCTTGCGCGGAGCCGCGCGCACACTGTTTGTCAAGCAAACCAGAAAACGTAGCAAGAGTAATATTTAAGAAGGGCATTCCGACCCGCGAAAAATTATTTTCCGCGTTTTTTTCTTTTTTCTTTTTTTTTTTTTCTTTTGAACCCTTTCGAACTCTCGTCAATTATTTTTCTTTTTCCGTTTATTCTCACGAAATTAATAAGAGCAAGGAACAAAGCAACGTAAAAATCTAAACACGACACTCGCATTCGGCAAAAAGAAAATTGATTAATCGAATGAGTTGTTCGATGGATTTCGATACGTTGCGACGTGTGTGCGTGTGTGTGTGTATCGATCGTGGGATCGTGCGAGTTGCGAATAAAATTAATCGACGAACGCTCCATATTAAATTAGATAACAATAATCATTAAACGGGTTATTCCCCGTAAGCGATAACAAGCGAATAATAGGCGAGATGCATTCGCACATTGTGGAAATATCGAATGATGGAAAATTAGATTGTTGTTGTTGTTGGCGCGAAAACGCGCGCCGTGAAAAAGTCTAGCGGCGGGCGGCCGCTGACTCAGGCCGAGATCGAAAACTCTCTCTCTCTCTCTCTCTCTCTTTCCCCGACGACGAGTTATAGGAGAAATCTTTAATGCCAAGTTATGGAAATTTCGTAAGGGCGATAAATAATATTTGCGCGACCAAAGCAGGAAAGACGCGGTTTAAAATCGTCGATTTTAGCGGTGGAGAGGCGGCGCCGGTTGTTCCCGCCGAGGGTTCGCTGAATATGCATTTTCCCCGCCGCGAAATCTGGTTCGTTTACTCTATCCCTAATTGCTCCACTTTGCTCCACAGTTTTAAGGTACATTCCCCGTTTCTACTATTGACGCGCCCGGTTTGTTGACCCCATTTGCATTTTTTCCCAGCCCGGACCTGCTCCTCCCCTCCCCACATCTTCCTCCCCCGCCCGCAACTTCGACTTACGAATTTCAATTCGATCGCGAAAGCACGACTCGATCATCCGGTTGGTTAGCTTTAGCTTAGATTCGATTCCATTCGATTCCATTCGATTCGATCCTTTCGCAGGGGAGCGAATCCTACCTTCGCAATTAAATTGGCTATCGATCTTCCATACGCGACAAGGACATATCCCTCTGTTAACTCGCCCTTACTTATTTACAAAACTTGCGCCACCTGTTGTCTCGTTGTATATTTGCTTCGCTTCGAATATATATAAAAAAAAAAAAAAAAAAAGAAACGAAAAGAAAAGAAAGGGAGGAGAGAAAAGAAAAGAAAAAGACGAACGTTCTCGATTCGATCGGAGGATGGAAACACGAGGATGGAATGGAATGGATAAAATTGCTCCGTTTTTGTTCCCTCCGTTCCCTACTTTTCACTCGTTTCATCAAACCCCCTCCTCCTCCTCCTCCTCCTCCTCCTCTTCCTCCCTCCCTTCTCTCCCCTCCTCTCCCCCGCGGTTTTATTTGGCGAAGGCTGGGTCAAGATGAGTAGTCGAAAATCGTGTTAGAGCCGTAGGAGGTGGCCAAGCTGGGCGTCAGTTACCGCGACGAGAGAGGTATTCGCCAGAGGAAAATACGAAGGGGAGAGGGGGCCGTTGGAAACGGAGGGTGGTCTGATTACAATCGGTTTGATGGTCTATCCTCGGTGGTGGCCGGAGGTTCCGGTGGTGGCGCGCGCGCGGACACACACATGTATACACACATACACACTCGCACACTGGCCCATTCTCGTGAATTAGTCCGGATCTCGTCATCTTGCTCCCTCCTCGTCCTCCGACACCATCCTATCGTGGCCGGGGATCTACGGACTATTAGGAAATCAACAGGAAATTGACAAAACTTTATTTTGCCCACGGCTTCGTTTCCGAGAGGTTCGACCTTGATATACGCGACGCCCTTCGTCTCCGTATTCCCTCGAAATATTGTTTCTCCGAATTCGAAACATTTCGGCACCCTTGGTTATTCGAAATTAGCGTTTTTTTAAAGCGAACTGTGTTACTATGCATATATGAACAGAAGGGGACGAAGAGTACGATATTAAATTATCAATTACCTGCGTCTTAAAACTTATCACGAGAAACAATATCAAGTTTTCAAGTTTTGATTATCCATCATCCTATTTTGGAAAAGAAAAAAAAGAAAAAAGTTTCGCGAGTTTCTACGAATTTCGAGGTCTCGAAATCGTTGGAAATCTTCTCCCTATACGATCGAACGGTATACATATTAAATTAATAGACAATTGTGCGATGATAATTCGATCGTTGGAGATATATAAAGCATGACACGGTTCGAGAGTGGTTATACAGGGAGATAAAAGTTCGTATCGTTCGCAAATTGGCAAGAGTTGTTCCGTTTCCCATCTTATATCGATGGACACGAAACGTTTCGTCTCCGCGAACGCGCATAAATCATTTTGATATACAAACGACCTTGGTTGAACATTCTTCACTCGATCCTCAGACGGGGTGGGGTCTTTCTAGACAAGATATCCACTAAATTATTACTGGAAACGTAACAGCTTCTATTCTACCAGTCTCCGCCGTTTTCGTGTCTATATCACTTTCTGATACGGTTCAGTCATGTCGACACGGAAATAAATGGAGGGAGAAGCGGAGAAGCGGAGATAAAATATAGGAACGTGCGATTTTCAACGATCCTTCCGTACTATTTATTGTCATATTTATTATAAAGAGTACCCGAGCTATATACATATATATATATACAGCGGAATATAGAACCGCATAGGAACGTTATTGAATTTTCTATTAGCTGTCCGCTCGTATAAAATTTATCGCGAGCATTAACCCTGAAAAACGTTAAAGCCCGCCTAAAGTCTTTCGTAATATCATTTTCAAACAGTCCTCGATATAACATCTTCGAAAAATAATTTTAAAGAAAAGAATACGAATTCCGCTTTTAAGACACAATCGAGCGTATTCCCTGTTCCTCTTCATCCCTGCGTCTTAAAACTTATCACGAGAAACTTATCAAGTTTTCAAGTTTCGATTATATTATACCATCCTATTTTGGAAAAGAAAAAGAAAAAAAAAAAAAAAAAAAGAAAGAAGTTTCGCGAGTTTCTCAAGTTTCTACGAATTTCTCGAGGTCTCGAAATCGTTGCCCTTTGGAAATCTTCTCCCTATACGATCGAACGGTATACATACAAATCTCGCGTCCCGTCGTTACGTCTTCCCAAGATAAACTGGCAATTTCCAACCTCTGGACTTTCTTATTCCTGGTAGCAATACCAAAGTATATCCAAGTACGTACGTATCCATTCGTATAATAGGAGGAGTCCGACTTACGAGACTTACGTTTCTATATATACGTTTCGCGGGCAAGAAAAACCGAGGAATGGAATGGTCGTTGGACCATGGTCGGAGGGGAGGAAGGATAGAAAGGAAGGATAGAAATCGGATCCATTGGAACGAGGACAATGGTTTTCGCCGCATACGCGGTAGAAAAGTGGTGCGCGATCCCATAGATGGTGAATCGAGAAAATGGATGGATCCGTACATCAAGGATTTCCTTAATTTTGCGAACGTTGATTTAGGGAGATCGGCGAGACATCGGCCATCCTCCTCTCTTTCGCCTTCCTCCCCTTCTCCTGCGATCGAGGTTGAAACGCGCGTAACGCCGGGTTGGAGGATGGCGGCCACGTTGCGCGGACAGATCTCTCTATTAATCCTTGGAGAAGGTAGCGGGGTGAACGGAATCGAATCTCGGTTTGGTCGGTCGGTTGCAGACCTCGCGCGGCGCATCGATGCACACACGTGGTGCCCATAAGCCTGGACTTGGCTACCAGTCCGAGGTAAGGAGATATGGGTCACCACGCAGCTGACACGAGAGGCCATTCTCTATTCCCTGACCTGTTTTCTCTTTTTTTTTTTTTTTTTTTTTCCTTTTTTTCTATTTCTTTTCCTGCAGTCGCATACGATTTTTACAATCGCGTCACGTTTCCTCCCCTCCTCTTCCTTCGCGGTCGCCTAATACCTGGCCAACGATCACGAAAATTGAAAGTTATTTTTCTTTTTCCTTCTCTTCTTTGGAAAAAAAATATGGAAATTCGATAAGGTACTATTTGGACGGATTACTTTCTTCGAAATCCCCTCCCCTCCTTCTTTCGCGGTTAATATCCGGCCAACGATCACGAGAATTGAAAGTTATTTTTCTTTTTCCTTCTCTTCTTTGGA